TGTCGCACCGCATTGCCAGGGCAGGGTGTTTCGGCGTGGGGCTGCGGGGCGCGCGAGCGACTTCCTTACTGCTCAGCGATGGGGAAGCTCGCCTTTTAAAGTGCACCCATTCGCCCCCACCTCCGAAGGAGGCACCCGGACCCAACGGAAAGCCAGCGAGAAGTGAAGCCGTGCCCCGGGGGCCAATGAGCGGGGTGAGCCGCTCCGGCGGGAGGAAATGATGCCGGCCGGCCGATGGGGTTGTTCTTCGATTCAGTTCCTCGAGGGAGTCCCGGCGGGTCCAGCCCGGGGAGCCCGCGGTCCCACTGCTTGTCCTGAATCCGGCTACACCGGTGCCACCGGACCCCTGCGACCCGGCTTCTTGGGAAAGGGCCGCTTTGAGTCACCCCGGTTTTGCTGCTCGGCGCCCAACGGGCTGGTTGAAGCGAAAACAGCCTCAGCCGCCCCGAAACTCCAATGCAAAAGAGGGCAGCGGCAGTGGCAGCAGCGGGGCTGGCACCCGGGGACAGGGACGTCAGGCATGCGGGGACACCTGTGTCCCATCACGGGGGCTTCGCATCCCGAGTCCAGCCATGGGAGCCAAGAATCCAGCCTGGGAAGGAGGGAGGAGGAAGCCCAGGAAGCACGGAGCATCCCGGCATGGCTGGGGACCGTGCCCGGCTGCGGCGCTGGGCGATGCTCCGGAGGATGCTCTGTCCGTCCGTCCGCCTGCTCACACTCGCCCACGCCTCTGGGCGACGACTTCGGGTGCTGGCCAAGTGGGGGACATGGGGTGGCATGGCTCAGCCCCTCTGCCTGGCAGCACCCATGGGTGCCCCCGGGGTGGAAACGCAACCGCCCGGTGCCAAAGGGCCGCGCTGGGACCTGCGTGGGGCCCTGGGTGTTGCCCAAGGGCACGGGGCCGAGGGCAGCGGAAGCCCGGCGCGGGCAGCGGGGCAGGCAGTGCTGCCCTCACTGCTGCGTTAGGCTTATGCAATACCGCCGTGGGAGCGCCCGGCTTGCACAGC